TATGAACTGCACTAGAGTCTATGTACTCTAACTGTGCACTTGACTCTATGACCTTATGTACTTGACTCTATGACTTTACATAGCGCTAAACTCTTGGCAAATGATGCTTTCGGGCCACTCGTCTTCTAGTTTAAAAAAAAATATATATATATACACACACACTCACATACGCATACATTATTTGTTTAGGAGCCAAGCGCACAAAACCCTCTGCGCTTTTGCACACTAGTTTTTGTTTGTATGCATTGGTATCGGAGAACACAAAACACCTGCCTAAGACTCCGCAAAATCATGCATTTCTGCTGAAGCAACAACGAAAGTCTTCTCTGTGGAAGCCGCTAGCAATTCTTGTCATTCTTTCCTATTCCTCTTCTTGCAAGCCCCTTAGATCCAGGAAGCTTTCGCCAGGACCGCAGGCGATGCTGGAAGCCGCTGGAGCCTTCGCTCGGATGCCGAGTTTGGAGCTTCCAAGTTGGGATGAGGTTCTGACAAGATACTTCTGCCTTCCAAAGATTGCTCACAGGCACCCCTGCTTAATGGCTGTGTCACCTACAGTAATTAACTCTCTGTCTTGTGTGCGTCCTGGCCTGGGCGACCGCGGCGATCGTGGCGACCGCGGCGACTTCGAGGGTTCCGAGCGCACCGAAGGTGTCGCCGAGGGCGCCGCCGAGGGCACCGCCGAGGGCACCGCCGAAGGCGCCTTTGACGCTGCAGAGGCCGCGAGCTCCCGAGGAGAGACCGCAGTGGCCGCCTCGTGAGGTAACACGCGAAGACCCGGCGACGACGCAGCGAAGACGATGCACCGCGATTGCGGCGTATGAGCATGAGGAGAAACATCATCTGTATGTCAGGAGAACCGCGCTGCAGCAGTCACTAAACGAAGAAAACAGATCGCTCGACCTGACTGGAACTTGCGATATGCAGGAGATCTCTCATTCCCACGATTGTATCCCACTTAAACTGCAAACCCGGAGCCTTGAACCTCTAAAGAGACATCTCGTCCCATCCCACGGGCCGGCGGAGGCAGGAGGGGCAGCTTGGCAAGCTTGCTCAAGTGGGGTGCCTGAGACATGATGGTCTCACCGCAACTGTCGCAATAGACACGGGCATCAACCTGCAATCACCGTGAAAATTTCATGCAGAGAAACTCGGATCTGAATACTAGCGACAACGGGCTGTTAATCTGAAGGGTGTGGCACATGCTTCTACTTGCTGTAGGTACATCTGGGTGTTTTCGATTGCCTATCGATTGTTTGTGCAGTGTTCCCCTGTCCTCGTTCGATGCGATGTGACTTCCTGTGATGTCGTCGGCACCTATGAGCAGTCTACAAGTATGTATGCATCCTCCTATGCAGGACAATCTAGGGCTGGGTCGCACCAGAGCCCAATAATGTAAATAGAAAGCTGGTGGCAATTAAGTTCATCGCCTTGCCTCATGTGGCAGAACCAAATTTGTAAGATTTTTATGGCAGACATATCTGGTGTCACTTGGCTTAGCATTCAGGATTAGGTTTGGCTTCACTCTGTTTTCTTGCCCGTTCGCTTACAGCGATGGATGCATGCAATGAATGCTCTTCTAAAAAATACGGATTTGGTGTGGCAGCGCTTCAGCACCCTGCGCGGCTGGACAAGCAAACCCATTACAGCAAGCACTGTAGAACCAACTGGAAGCCGACTCCTTCGGATGCTCTAGCCCGGAAGAGCTGGAGAAAGCCTCCTGCGAGATGCTGGCAATCGCTTTGGCCGTGCGGCCAACCGCCTGTGGAAGTTGAGCGCCAAGTCACCAGACCAGATGGAGAGCTGGGGGGCAGGGCTTATTGGCATCTTTCTGACGATGGGGCTCTGCAATGCTCTGCAGCTCATGGTTGAATCTGCAGGAACCGCTCAGGCACCACGGGCAAACAACAATGCGTCGAGAAGTGCATACTGCACGCGCTATAGCACATGCACGCGGCACCCAGCTCCACGGCCTTCGCAATTGCGACAAACTCGACATTGATCTTGCTGTCCTCTTGCCAGCCCGGTTTCGTGTCCAGCTGATCCGTCCCTAAGCCCCTCTGCCTTTGATGTGTGAACCCGAGCAGCCACCAGAGCACCTCTACAACTTCCAGCAGCAGCTTGCGCCGCAGCTTTTCGGCACGGATTGCTGCCTCCCCTGGCCATGTGGCGGTGTTCGAAGGCCCTTGTACAGAACTTGGTGGTGTAGCGTCACTAAAGGCTTTCATGGCTTTCACGACGTGACACACGATACATGTCTCATCTTGCACTAGAACAGTAAATACAACGAACACGCATCCGGCAAGCTCGCGGGATCGCGCCCATTTCCCGGCTGCGGGCTTTCTCTTCGTCCAGGAGGCTGCGCAGCCTGGAAAGAGGCAGGACGACTGCCCCTGGCAAGCTCTGGAAGCATGAGCTCTGGGGAGCCCGCACTAAGATCGCTTGGAAATGCTGCTGGGCTTGCGTTTTTTGCAGTGCTGCGGGCTGCTGCTTCAGCCTCCTGTCATGCTGACTCTTGGAGGGAGCGGTTCTGGCAAACTCCCTGGTTCTTTGGATGTTGCACACTCGTACTATCCCTTTGCTTCTTCGTCCTGCTGCCTTGAGCCTTCGTTGTGCCAAATGCGCAGCAGGTGCTGGTCCTGCTGCTTCACAGCGCTACTCTCGTTCACGAGATGACGACGTCTTCCCATGGTTGTTGCAGTCGCAGTGCGTAGTTGTTAGCTGAATGCTTCTTTTGAGGCTCGTCTCTGGTGTTCGACGTGAGTCGTCGAATCTTGCCACGGGTATCCGACACTACGTAGCATTGACATCTTGAAAACTTTCCGAAAGCACGGAAACATCCTGCCTCGCAATCTCTGCCGACGCCTCTCCGGCGTTCGGCTGCTGTCCCTTGGATTTGCAGCGCCATAGGGCTTGGAGTCTAACAAGGTTAGAAAATGCAAAACCTTTTCGTCAGGCCTGAAATGCAAGGGTTGCTGGCAGGTGCTCTGCAACAGGAAAGATGCCATGAGTGCTCGACCGTGCATCACGACATAAATCAAAAAGCGACTCAAACAAAAACACAGTGTGGGGCTGACGTCACACCTGGTAACTCTAACGTGACTCAACCTGATTCAACAGAGTGACACACATGTAGAGCTGAAACACTGAGACATGTAGAGCTCAAACTGAGATCCCCCATCCGCCATTTCCATCAAGCTCCGGTCCCAGCAACCCCAAAACACCACCCTGAAAGGCGAAAGAGCCGAGCTCCGGGGGCGGCGCGGCGGACGCTTTGGCTTCGGCCTTGGCGCGCTCGGCCGCCTTGGAAGCAGGGCTGCTCTCTGCAACACGCGGGGCTCAAGGTGCTCTCATTGTATCTTAGGATATGTGCAGCACATGGGTTCGGGTTTGGGCGCTCGTTGATTCCATGTAGGACTCATCGACTCTGTCGGACTTGCTTGTTTGTCAGTAACCCAAACTGAACAAACACTGCACTGCGGCCCGGGCATAGGCGGCCTCTTCCGAGCGCAATGCTTGCCGCAACTCAAAGACCTGGCAGAAATCGAAGTCAGGTCGTTCGGGCTGAACAAAATTCGTGGCGACTAGACAAGAAGAGCGCCTCTTTGCTCAGCTGCTCTTGCAGCAGTGCTGTCTTGTCCTTGTAGCATATGCCACGACTTACCAGTTGCACTTGCTTGGAGATGCCCCTGCAGAGTCTGAGGATGTCCTGTCTTGAAGGGGTCGTGGCGGACGCTGGCCTGGAAGCTTCGTGAACATAAGAGGCTTGTGGATCCCCGCCCAAAGACCATCAAAAAACATGTCGTGTTGGCTCTGCAAACATCCACAGACATCCACAGGCTACCGTGCCCTCTAACTGGGGCGGAGGCATGATGCCGCTCGGGGTACCGAAGGAGCCACCTGCTTCGCTGGTATGGAGTGACATGGCTGCAGGATGCCGCGCGTGATCTAAACCGCCACCATACAGCAATTTCTGCAGATGCTCCTTGCCTCCGGAGGGGATGTGACCCGCAATCATCACAGGCGACTCCTGTGTCCACCAGCAACAAATCTAGTTTGAAAAGTACCGTGCTGGGCCCTGGAGGGAGCCGAAACTCCATGCGCATACTGGGTCTACAGTAAATGTCGTGCGCTGGCTGCGCGTGCTGAGCATGCTCGTGGTGCGCTCAGCAAGAACCCAAAGGGCTGACGGATGCTGAACGGCTCAGATCAAACTTCAGGAGACGGACCTTGCCTTGGTCAGTCAAAGATCGGGCCATGAAGCTTCGAGAAATAAGCCATGTATCCTTGCCCTCTCCTCACCACGCGCGGTTTCTTCTGATGCGGAGTCGTCTTCAAAGGGATTCCTGGTGCTCGTATAACGAAACTGCGGGTGAGGCTAGCTGAGCAAGAGACTGACCACACGTGGTAGCGCATGTCGACTCTGAAACGAGTTCCGAGCCGGCTGTGTTGAAGGAAAAGGGTCCTGTCGGAAGTCGTAGCATCTTCGACCTTCACCTCAAAGAACAAGTGTTGGCGGATTTGCGTGGTCATACCATAGCATGTCGCATGCAAAATTCCTAGATTCAGACAACCTGGCTGAGACCTGCACCCGCATCGCCGGTGCAAACGACACGGCACGTTCTCGGCCTTCCCCACGCGACCTCGCGCAACGCATTTATGCGGAATTGACGTTGACAATCGCTCGGCTGACATGGATTCGCAAAGACCCTGCAGGCTACCATGCTGCAAGTCTAAGTTCTCAAAGGCTTCGCGAAGGCTTCGCAACGAGGCATTGATTGCAGATCAACCCCGAACTCGAAAAAAGTGAAACTCAAGTCGCTGGTTCGACAGATGCAATTGCCTAGAATGGCACTTCAGTTCGTCTCTGTGAAGCTGCAAAGACCCCTCTGAAGATTCCTGAGCTCGTTGCTTTTCACTGGCATCCTCGACAGGGCTGAAGAAGGCATCGTCTCTTGTGGCCTGGCAGTTTGCGTACGATAAATTTTTCTCTGACCAGGGCCGAGCCGAGTAAGAGCGAACTTCTTGAGCTGCGCCTCCTCGGGCTCCTCCTCGATGGACACCATCTTGACCACAGCGCCGTGGTCGAAGCCCTGGCAGCTCGAGGCATTAGGGCCATTGGGACCTCTGACCTTCGATGATGAATCTCTGCCGTATTTCTTGCTTGCGGATATGACGAGCAAGGAGCTGAAAGGCAGCTTGTCCGAGACACAGCCCCAAAGGTCGTCCCTTCAAACACAGACTATGCAACTTCCTGACGGCGTGAGAAGCACTTCCCAACCTCGAGCTCCTTGAGAGGCCCCCCTTCGCCGAAGTCAGCAGTTTTCCGATGCGTCCGGACTCCGGGAGCCCCTGGTCACTGTGGAGATGGATCCCTTTTGCAAGATGGTCCCCGACTCCTTTGAGAAAATACCTCTACTCGGCTTCTCCGGCACCTTCCAGCTGCGCATGCGCCTTTTGCTGGGCCAGCTCCGCCTGCCACTCGGCAGAGGCGCTCAGCTCGCATCGCAAAGATACGAAAAACTGTATGTCGCAGATCCAAGTTCGCTATACACCAGTAAGCCAGAAGGACAACATTCTCACAACTCTTGCAAGAACACATCTAGTCCTCTGTGCGCCTGTAACGCCAGGCACTCCTCACGGAGGCGGCGGGCCTTGCAATCTCGAGACGTCCCAGGGGCTTCGCAATCGCTTGAACAGGAAGTTGAACTGTGCTGGATGTTCCGCGAAAGTGTCCCAAGCGAACCTAAAACAAAAGACCTACACCTATCATGAAGCTGTCGATCTGGCTGTTCACGGCCCCCTGCCTCGCGAACCCCCACCGGCCCGTCCGCACCGCCATCCTCGCAGCGAACAGAGACAGGGAGAGGGCGGTTCTGATCACCCTGCTCCGGAAGGCGTCCTCAGCCGCGGCTTCGCTTGCAATCTGCAGAGCATACTCCACGTCTTCGAAGCGCTCCTGTGCCCACTCGATGCTACCTATCTTTTCTCGAGGTCTGTTCCCGATGTGGGCGACTGCCTACTTTGCTTGCAACCATTCCCAGGTCAGAAGGCTCAAACATCCAAATGGCATCATGGCATGCTGAGCAGGGGGACCCTGAGATCAACCAGCTCCCGCTTGGAGCTCGCCAGCTCCTGTGCGGCCTTGCAGAAGATGGAAGGCACTCTGCAGTGGCCGGATAAAACTGTGACTCTACGCCCTATCAACCCGTCACTCATGAGTCCCCGCAGAGCCTTCGTGTTTCGATCCCCGAAGCCAAAGCTCTGAAGAGGCTTAACAACAAAGCCTGGGACACGAGCCTCGGCTGCGGTGCCCTCCGCCTGGGCTAGGGCCTCTTCTAGTCTGCACGGGGCCTCGGACAGCTCGACAAGCCGAGCGGGAATACGGAGGTTCTGCCAGAAAAAACACCGCAACATTCCTGCCCAAGCCTGTCGCAGAAGCACAACGTCAGGCACTGCAAAAAGGTAAGGTCTATGCATCATCCTCCCAAGCTGCTTTCGGAGCTAAGTCCGCTTCTTCCAAACGAGCCTGGCGCAGCGGACATGTCATCCTGCTGGGAAGCGGGCACAGAAAAACATCACGTCCCCGCCCTCAGCTCAGCCAGATCCAGCTTGGAGCGCTCTAGCTCGGCTGCTAACTGCTCCCGGCGCTTTTCACCGGATTCTTTCGCGGCCTGCAAGTGCCCAAAATCTGAACAAACAACCATCGACTAGCAGATTAACAGCACTCTGCCTCCGCCTGCTCTTCCAACTGTGCCTGAGACTGCATTATCCGACAATTAAATCTCCATGTTTTGCAACTTCGGGTATCTCCATTGTTGCACCAAGCCCTGTAGTGCAAACCACCCGCCTGCGCGTCCTGCCTCTCAAGCTTATCCGTCTGACCCATGTGCGCCTGACGTCTAAATTTGCCACACGTCATGCTGTTGCGTTGCAATCTACGAGTGGGCTTCATCCGAAAGGAATTGGAACTTTCTTGTTGTGTTGCCTTGCGGGCAGCATGATTGGAATGCCCCGCCTCTTCCTCCAAAGCTGCTTTCTGAGCCAATTCTGCTTCTTCCAAACGAGCCTGGCGCAGCGGACATGTCATCCTGCTGGGAAGCGGGCACAGAAAAACATCACGTCCCCGCCCTCAGCTCAGCCAGATCCAGCTTGGAGCGCTCTAGCTCGGCTGCTAACTGCTCCCGGTTCTTTTCACCGGACTCTTTCGCGGCCTGAGCGAAGGTGGTCCAGGAGCACACCGCGATCTTAGGGCAAGCCGTAGGCAGCCTCTGCACAGGCCAGCTCCTCCCGAAGCCTCGCCTTCGGCAGGCCACCAGTGGAAACTGCCACATACTCTGGCCCACTCGGCCATGCATGAGCATTTCATGAGATTGGGCAAATGCTGGGAAAGCTTTCGACGCAGAAACAGAGACGTCAATGGAGCATGAAATCCCTGAAGCCCTTCCTATGTCATTCCCACCCATGCCTGGGCGGTGGTCCGTCGCTCCTCATCCTTTGCAACACTGCGGGTTCAAAACGCTAGGGAAAAGGATGGGCTCAAAATGCCGGAACTGTACGCTCATGGTCGTGCCGCCGATTCCCATCCTAGAACTTTGAACACTCCGCCTC